TGTAATCTTTCTCTCTTCTTGATAAATTTCATAGATGATTTTCTCTTTTTTTTAGATAAGCAGTGTCTGAATATCATTTATTTTCTCCTTATACTTCTAATATTACTATAATTTTTGGTTTCATAGTAGATCTGATGTAATGAGCTTCATATTAACTATTTTATTTAGACAAATATCATCATGTTATACAATTGGTATGTTAAACATACAATATGGATCCCTGTAATTCTGTGTTCACTTTGTCTGGTTTTGTTGCAGCATACCCCAAATTGTTAAATTATTATAAGGCATTTAAAAACAGTAATTAGATTTCCCGGCTATCTATATGACCGAAGAATAAATTATACGAAGATTCATTCCCAGTCACTTGTGAAAAATTAGTATGAAGGTGACACTTAGTGCGACAGGGGGATTAATAAATTTAAAGTTCCAAAAACAGATCTTCATGTCAAGTGATAATAATTTCCGGTGATTTATTTCCTTGTGTGGGTCACGGTATATGGTAGTATATAGTTGAAAAACAAATTGAAAGTCAACAAAAAAAGAACTCCTACAATTTAAGGATAAAGGAGTATAATCAAATATCCTCCTTGAGACGGATACCTTTATATGGAAAAGTGACGAAAGATATGTAACAAATAGGAAAAAATTCTCTACTGGGAAGAGTAAAGGGGTAACAAGTTTAATAATTATAGTCAAGCAAAAAAATTCCGATTAAAAGTGTGTATACTATCTTTAAAAAGGTTTAATAATTTTTTTTTTTATATTGCTGTACATAACTAATGAACATGACGAAAGTTTATAGTAAAAGCAAACGATTTGAAACCAACTTTATTAAATTCCCTTAATTATCTAAGCGTTCTATTAATTACATATTCAACAAATTTACTATGAAATATATACTATTATATGAAAATTACTGCGTTCTTTCATTAATATCAAGTTAATCTGATCATTTGTAGGTTACCCTCTTTCTTTCACGTAAACTCCATTTGGATGGCTAGTTTGAAAAAATATTATATATATGAATAAGGTTGATAACGATATTATGTAAATAAATTCTTTATAAAATCTTACCTGCTTTTGCGCTTCAAAATAACCATCCTCATTCTCGTCGTTTAACTCGTCGTTTATCTCTTCATCTGTCTCACCACCTATCTCTTCATCTGATATTTCTTCCTTGTATACAACAGCTTTGCCTTTTTTGTTTCGTAAACGTGACGAACACTTGAATTTTTCCGATAATTGCTCTCGCATACGTTTCTTAATCGATCTTACCACGGGTTCACCGGAATTTATCATAACATCCAACCAAACTGCCAATATTGAGAATGTTTTGATTTCTAATGAATACCAATTGACTGCTACATCATAAAGCCATCCCCAATTTTTATCTTTTTTGGAACTATTACTAGATGCATCATCATCGTCCGTAAATTTAAGACCGGTTTCAGAGATCACCTTTTTGATTTCATTTACGAAATCACTAGCATTATCGCTAAGATTCAATTCGCAAGTTTTGAAAACCAAATTTAAATCAACTTCTTGCAAGATTTTTTCGAATTCCACGGTTTTTCTTTTTACATACTCTTTCATTATCACATGATATTCTTCGGATGACCAAACGTTCTTTTTACGGATAACCGTATCAAATAATTTCCAAAAGCTTTTTTGACGCTGACTCATGATAATTTTAACTTCTTCAGAATCAACTTCCATCTTTTCGTTTTGTTTATTTCCTTTTTTCTCAAGCCATAGGTTTAGCATATCAAATGTAGATTCAATTTCATTCTCCAATGTTTTAAGATTCGCTTTTAAACTATTCTCCCTATCATCATGTGTATTAAGAGCTGCCATAAGCATTCTAAGTTCGCCAATTCCACTGATCATTTGCCATTCTGACGAAGAAGTTATGGGCAAAGATGAAGTGTCGGAACCTTGATTGAAGGAGTAATTCCATTTAATTGTTTCGATAAACACTCCTCCTAAAGGTCTAAAGAACCAATAGTATCTACCATCCCGGTCTTGTCCTAATCTGGCAATCATGTAAAACCTTTCGTCACGCCCGGATGGATTTAAAATAGAACCACCACGTAGAGTGCAATTAGCATGATTCCGTTCAGTCTTATTTAACATATCAAGTTCCTTATGCTCCATCTCCAACTTATCTAATCTATGGGAAAATATCTCAATTTCATCGGCTAAATCTTTTAATTGTTCGTGAAGTTCAATCTCAGCCTTGCGTTTCGCGACCATCCTTTGACGTTTAGTGGCGGCATTAGGCAAATCTGCATCTTCATTATCTAAATCCAATTGTTTTTCTTTTAATTGATTTTCGATATCTTTCATCTCATTTTCCTTGTTAACTATCTTGACACGTATTTCATTTATTTTAAATTTAATTTCCTTCATCCTTTCCGACCTAGTTACATTCTCTTTCTTATGAGTTGCTGGCATCATCAATTCTCTTATGTACTCTCGAAGTTTATTTGTATGTAATGCTTCATTCATGAGGTCAAGAAATACAGACGTTCGTTCTCTTGGATTAAATTTCGAATATTCTTTCTCGCAAAGAAATTTCCTGTTAGGAAATCTTTCAATGAGGAAATATTGTAAATTAACGAGATCTATGTCGCATCCTTCTTCAGACTCTTTGTAGAGGAAAGAGAGCAACCCAGCTTGTAAAAAGCCAAGATACGTATGAAAATGATTATCCAAAATCATTTCTTCGAGATCATCTAATGCATATAATCAAGTTAATACATTTATCAGTTTTCTTCATCATGATATAATAAAGTAAAATTAAAAATTTTCTACCATAATTTAATCGATCTCTATTATACGAGAGATCTAATTCCAAGGGCTTCTCGAATTTTACAATAAAATCGTATATGCTTAATATATCTATAATTAAAATCAAATTGTTTTCTCCCAAATTTACACGTTCAAAGGTAGGTAATGTAGCGACATTAATAGGGTTAGATGCATTGGTAGCTCTCTTTCTCTTTGTGATGGGCCGAGATTCCGAAGTTACCTAATAGAAAGTAAAGTAGAATAATATTATTAAATGAACATATGAAATTATCTTGGATGATCATTGAGAGAGATTTTTTTTTTACATTTGGTGGATTAGTTATTTCTTTAAGGACATTCGGATTCTCATTTCCATTTAAAGTAGTATTAGGTATGTCACTTGTAGAACCGAACCAATTTAATAAAGAACTATTGTTATTAGGTTGACTTTTCTTTGTATTCGCTTTTGATTTTTTCGAATTTTTCTTGATTGTCGCTGTAGAATTTTCATTAGATTTCATAACTTCAAAATTTGGTTTAATAACTGTCACTTCTGGTGGAGTTACGATAGGAATGACGACTCTTGGAGAGTAATACCAAGTAACTTTTGTAGGGGAAGTTACAATTCTTGGCGTTGGTATGTTTATTTCACGTGTACCATTAAACATTGTAGTTTTCTGGGTAGCGGTTTTTCCTTCTGTCACGTTAGAAGGTGAGTTAGTTTGATAAACAACTTCTTTCGGTGAATCAGAATCACGTGAGTCAGACTGTAACCAACGTTTTATTATTTCAGATTCTTTGGAAGCAGGTATTTGAGTATTAGAAACTTCACTTAAAGCTATCCTTTTTGGTTTTGAACGATTACTTAAGACTTTTGCGGGATTTCGTTTCTCCATTCTTTAGCTAACAAAAAGTATAAACCAAAAATAATATGTTCATTAGTTTGAACAAGGATATAAAAAAAACAATTTATGCATTTTATGATACTTTACAGTTAAACTTTTTTTTTTCTTTTTAAAGTTGAGTTTGACACGAAGAAAAAAAAACGCGACGCGTTCAGCAAACCCTTTATAAAGCAGGGCATGTGATACTAAGTCATGTGATATACGTTTTCTTGGTGGCTTATTTTATGCAACATGATCTCGCCCGAAATGAAATGTGGCTGAAAAATTTTGTTCTTTTTAACACGTGCGCCCATCATTATAATTAGTCGTATTACCAAATGGTGTTGTAATGAACCACACTTTACTTTTCACCTAGAGTTTTGAGAACTTGTAGATGACAATAAGAAAATGGATATACTGCGGCTCATTGTCAAATAATTATATGTTTCGTCATCTTGTAATCATCATTATTATCTGAAGGCGTTGTTGACAGTAATTATAAAAAGAAAAAAAAAGATCCAAAAAGTCTAGAACGTTTTCCATGACAGGCAACTATTTACCCATAAAGTGTTGGTCATAAACCCTTCGAGAAAGATAAATTTAAGCGCAGCTGGTTTTTTTGTGACATCATGCCTTTTTTATTTCCACAGTTATCATCTGCAAGTCATGTTGATTTATCAAATCACACAGAAAGCACAAGTTAAAAGGAAAAAAAGGAAATTGAAAACCAACTTTTAAATTTCTTATACAAAAAATCTGTGAAAAAAAAAAGACGGGGAATTGTTTTTAAAATATATATATAGATTGAGAAATAGGAAAAGGAGGGACGTGTAAATAAAAAGGAGAAAACAGGGCAATTGACGATCATTACTTAGTAAACAAATTAATCCCATTTATGACATAGGGAAAGGAGAATTCTTATGATGTTCAATTTACAAATATAAAATTGTTTCTGATATCATTTCAAATAATTCTAACTCGAATTATTCTAATCACATGAAATCCTTAATTTCATTATTTGATGCAAATAATGACATAATATAAAATAGCACATTTATTAGGTTTGGCACAATTAAAATCACTCCATAAATAAAAGTATTTTAACAAATCCCTTTTGACTTTTATTTAAATTTGGTATGATTTTAATTATATTATTTGATCTAAGTTCAGAAAAACTTTTTATAAAAATAGCCCCTCCACGACCATCTACATTTTAATTACCTTCAAATTTTTTTTTTTTTGAATTGTTTAAATACTACTTTAATTTATAAATATCCATTCACTACATTTCTTTGAAGGCCTTTGTCCTCGATGTCGAAGATTATGTCCAAAGCAAAGAGCAACAAAGGTAAAAGAAAAATATATGTATTATATACAATTAAAAAAAATTATACTAATTTTAGTTCGATTTTCACTTCATATTAGCAAATATAAAATCTGTTTTATTACAAATTCAACTTCAACAATATTTACCGATTTTTCAAAGAAATGAAATTGATTTTACAACCTTCTTAACATTAAATGAACAATCCTTAAAATCCATTGGAGTCAAGAATGAATCTCATTGTAAAATATTATTAATGTATATTAGGAAGTTACAACAGTTCTTATTAACACCTTCCACAACAACGGCAACTGAAAGCCATATGTCTTCAATAGTGGAAAATGAAAATCATTCAATACATGAATCCGGAGATGAAGAACTGATTAAAGATGATAGTCAACTTACAGTCGGTAATAATTTGACCGCTTTGACACCTATCACGGAAGAAGATGAATTGTGTTTCCCCATAACAAATGTTGCTAGTGAAGAGGAATCCAATGACCTCACTGACGTAACGCAATCTAATATCAGCAATGCCGTTGATCAAAAGTCACTGATTACTGCGCCAATAATACCATCAACAACAAATAGTGCTGATAATCAGGATACAAACGAAACGCAATCAGATTCAATGGAAGATAATTATACGCCAATATCTTTAACTTCTCGGGGACGTAAACATAACAGCACAGATGATGAACTTATATTAGCTATGAGACGACAACGTGGCGCAGTTGTACGAAATACGAATTGGCGCCTTTCTATGCCAGTGACTAGTAGTGAATTACCTTCTTATTTCGATGTGGTTGATCGACAACACTTCGCAAATAAAAGTGAAGAATTACCTTCTTATTCTTGCTCCGTACAAAAGTGTGGATATATTTTCAAGAAAAATGAATTCGCTTCAAAAGGAGTTAAATCGAGAGACAGATCATGGAAACAACAATATATATATTTATGGGGAACTCTTCTACGCGTATATAAAAGCGAACCAATTGATTTCAACGTAAGTTTCTTTTTAACAAAACATTGCTATTACACGCTACTTTTTTCTTAAAAAAAATTTATTTTATATTTGTAGCGAGTAAATCCAGTTCACGAGTTTAATATGCTAAACGCTCAAATAGGTTTAGCGTCAGATTATCTCAAAAAAAGAAATGTGATAAGAATACGAGTTTCTACTGGAAAACAATTTTTATTTCAAACACAAAGTCGTGATGAATGTGTTGCATGGATTGAAGTATTGCAATCTTCTGTAAATATTTCATCTACGTTGGATGAAAGAGAAATGCCAATGTTTATTACTTTACCTACAAGGCGACGTAGAGTAAATGCATCTAATATAACAACATCTACATCATTATCATCAATGAATAACATTAATTATGAAGGTAATAGCGGTATACCTTTAATAAATTATTCCTTAATGCCAGTTTCTTCTTCAGGTTTAACTTTACAACAATATAATGAAATGGCAAGAGAATTACAGCAAGTTCAAATTACTGGAGCTTTACCGCAACAACAATTATCCTGGTAAAAGATTTAATTGATTTCAAAAAAATCAAAATAAGGAATTATAAGCAATAATATAAGGACTATTTTTTACGTTCAAGTTGTATAAAGCAACAATATATATATATATTTTTAACTTATATATAATTTTAGCATTATTATCATCCTTTTGTATAATAACATAACTTGTGTACTTTTCATGTATTTTTAATTTATACTTTCTATTTTATCCCAATTTGTTTAGAAATATTAATAATCAAATTTAAGATATAAGTTTATATTATTCTTTTAAATATTATTTAGTAAAGCAACTTTACACGAATTTTATCTTGTAAATTTCTGAAAAAAAATTTTTGACGGACGTCGAGTTGTCGATTTAAATGATACAATGATTCATAGTTATAATTTTACCCACTTCCTATTTTGGGCATCCTTATCAATTCAAATTATTTTGATTAAAAATACTGTTGCAATTAGGGTCAATATAAGTTATTTACAAAGATATATATTTGGTACAAATCACCGAGCACGTGGGTCCGGTTTATTTCACCGATCATTTCATTGACAATCATTTTACCGACAGTCATTTCGTCGACAGTATCATTCGTTTTATCGACATTAATTTAATTTATAAATTTTCAATAAATTTGATCATTTGAAATATTTATTCATTGTCATAATAGCCTATTTAATATATAATATAAAGTGTAAAAAATTAAAATTTTCAATGAAAGATTATGAGCAATTCCTTGAGAAATTCCATGAGTGAACTGTTTACATGGTCATACAGTAATACACTGTTTGAATGTTCACGGTCTTTTCTTCTTTGTCAAGGTCATGGTGCTCCTTGCAAAATTGATTCTATATTAAAGTTGAACTTGATTTTGTTTATCTTGTACAGAGGGGGGACAAAAATCACCGGGCAACGCAAATGTCGATCATTTACACCAAATTTAAAAAATTTTTAAACCGCAATAATTTAAAAACTACTGCAACAAATTAAATAAATTTTTTTTT